CATCTCGCGATTGTCGAGCTCGACGCCCATCCCGCGAACTTGCGCCTATCAGCAGATCTTCCTATCACCACCAGCCCCCGGCCCACCCACCCATGGCACTCTCCACCGCCGCCTGCAACTCGTCCGCCGTCTGATAGTCGCGGCGCCGCTTCGCCACCGCCCTCTCCGCCAGCAGCTTCGCCACATCTGCGTCGTCAATCGTTGGCGACGGCGGCCCTAGTCGCAAGGCGTTCCTTCAGCCAGAGGCGCCCCTCTCGACCGTGCGCCGGCGGGACGACGCACCCTCCCGCGCGTAGCCCCCAGCATTGTCGCCAGACCAGGTGCGGCGGTCGTCGTCGACGTACACGCCTGCAGCGCACGGGGGCACCGCCTCAGCTGGTGCAGTGGAGGGCCCGCCGCCGAAAAGCGCGCACCCATCTCGGTCAGCTCCGCGTGGATCGAGTCGGCGAGCGCGTACTCGCGCTCGCGCTTGGCCGCCACCCGCTGCGCCACGAGCGACGCAACCACCTCGGCGTCCAGTCCCTCGCGCAGCGCACCTCCAACCTGGCGGTACGGCGCAACGTCGAAGCTCCCGCCGTCCGCCCGCCAAGCCTTGCGCCCGTCGTTGACCTGCCGCCGCCGCCGGGAGCCGCGCGCGTGTGAGGGATCCGCGGACGCGTGTTTGCGCCCGAGGGGGTCGGGGCCAGCCTGGGCCCTCCCTCCTCTCCCTCCCCGTGAGTGAGGGGGTCGGGGCCAGCCTGGGCCCTCCCTCCCTCCTCTCCCTCCCCGTGAGTGGCTTGAGGGTCTGGCAGCCCGGGACTCTGTTTGACGGGAGCGCCGCGCCTGCACGCCCATGTCGCGGAGCTCCTCGAGCAGCTCGTCCGCCTCTTCGAACCGCCGCGCCAGCTTGGCCTGCAGCCGGCGCCGCAGCAGGTCGTCGACCGCCTCCGCCTCCTCATCGTTGAGCTCGGCGCCGTCGTCCTCGGCGCGCGAGTAGTCGTGCCCCGCCGGGCCAAACTCGCGGAACGCGCGCGGGGCGGCCGCCTGCCTCTTCGAGCGCGTGCCACCGGCGGTCGCCGAGCCGTCCACCCACCACCTGCGAAGCGAGAGGGCGTGGGAGAGCAACGTCAGACGGCGCCGCTTCCGGACTGGCGCCTGTCTGGGCGCGCGCGTGCGCGCGTCTTTTCGCGGTCGTCGACGACGACGCCGTGCTCGAAGCGGAGCGTCTCGAGGATCTCGTCCGCGCGCGCGTAGTCCCTCTCCCTCCGCAGCGCGTCCCTCTCCTCGAGCAGCCGCTCCACCTCGGCCGCCACGTCGTCGGTCGCGCCGTGGCTGTCGTAACCGCCCCTGCCGCCCCGGCCAGCGCCGCCGCCCCGCCCGCCTCGCTCCCTCGAGGCGCCGCTGTCGACCCACCAGCTCTTCTCCCGGTCGTCGATCACCACGTTGTACCTGCGGCGCAACAGCGCGGCGGTGTGGCAGTCTGCGGGGCGAGAGTGCGCCCAGCCGAGGCGGTCGGCGCACCGCTCCCGGAGCTCGTCGCGGATCGCGTCCGCTCCGTTGAAGTCGCGCGAGCGCCGCAGATCGTCGCGCTCCTGCAGCATCGCCTCGATGTCGGCGGTGTCGCCGTCTGACCCGCCGCGGCCAGACTGCGCATACCGGTCGCCACCGCGATCTCCGCGGCGGCGGCCGTTGCTGGACGAGTCGTCGTCCACCCACCAGCTCTTTTGCCGGTCGTCGACGATGACGCGGAAGCGCGACCGCAGCTCCTCGCGGATCTCATCCGCCGCAGCGTAGTCACGCTCGCGCCGCATCGCATCCCGCTCCTCAAGTAGCGCTTCGACCTCGGAGCTCTCCGCCTCGGACAGGCTCGCCCGTACAAGCGCCAGCGGCGCGCGGCAGACGCGCGGCAGCGAGAGCAAACCCGGCTGCAGGAGTGCCGCCGCCGTTGCGGCCAGCAAGTGGAGCATGTTGGCGGGTGGCGCGAGGCAGCCTCGAGGTAGCTCGCGGTGATGTGTGAGAAAAAAGACAGGCGTAAGTGCTAGCCCTTTAGGCTTTATGTATGTTTTCTTCTCGCACCCTGCCTGGTTTCTTTCCGTTTTCCTCTTGTTTCCCTACAGCATCACTCTCTCGCCCCTTTGACCAAAATCTTATAAATTTAATGTCTGCCTTGCGCATTCAAGTGGTCGGCCCCCCGCCCGTCCCCGCTGACCACCCGACGCCTACAAGCCGGCGACCGGTGCGACGAATGATGCCGGCCCGCCCGAGGACCACAGGCTCGCGCTCGACCACCGGCGACCAGGCGCGTGGTGCCGCGCCAAACCTCGGCTCTCATCTGCGAGCGCGCTGCCCTAGGGGGGTTCCCGGCCCGTTCGCACACCGCGCGCGCCACGCCGGCGCTCACGTGTGCACTGATATAGTTCCTCGCCCTCCACCAAGAGCTGACTACGAAAACGCTCGCCCTCATCCAGGCAACCTCCCTCGGCCGCGGCGGTGCCCTGACGTACCCGACGCGGCCGCGGCCCAAGGGATGGTGCGTCGATGAGTACTTGCACGTGTTGTCTCGCAGCGCGACCACCGCGCCGTCAGGCGCGCCTAGCAAGAGTAGCCGCCGCCCAACCTGAGCCGTGCCGCAGGCAGGCGGGCGCATAGACGCCTCGCACTGGGAGCTCGAGCTGGACCTGGCAGTCGCGAACGCCTCGTACTCGTCGTCGCTGTTATTAATTGATGCTTTTTGCACGGCTGAGCCCCCCCCCCCCCCCCTCCCCCATCCCCCGCGCCCATTCCCTGCCCTCTCCCGCCACGCGCTCCGTCCGAGCCCTCCCCGCTCTTGCACAGGAGGAAAATGGAAATCTAATCAGATGGAAGCAGGAAGCTTCCATCCCGGCCGTGGTTCGAATCCACATGAGCCGATGGGTGAAGGGTGCGTCGGCGTGGAAAGCTCACCCATTGAGGAAGTGAGGTACTCGGCACCTGACCATCCCGGATCCTGCTGAACATGCTCCTCTTGTAGCTCGATCGGTCACACCGCCATCACCGCCGACGTCTCCCAGTGAGATGATGGAGAGGGGGGACGACACTGCTCGATCTACCCTCTGGGGTCCCTCAGCAGCGTGCACCTCGATCCTGTACAGTGTTTGTTATGACCCCCCCCGATGAACACACCAGTGAGGGAGGGCGAGACGATCGAGGGGTCCCGTACCATGCGGAACTGACCCTATCCAGTGCTCAAGTGAAAAAGAAAGAAAGAAAGAAAACAGACACGCCAAACGAGGGATGGGACGAGGACAGGGTCCCCACCTGCACGAGCAGGATTTTGGAAGGACGATCAGGGGGACAGGTGGGGCTCTCCTGCTCCTGACAAGGGACACGACAGGCTCGCAGCGCGGTGCGCGGTGGACTCCCACATCCACTGGCGGTCTCATCTCAGTCTAGCGACCTGCCTCCAGCTTGTCGCTGGCAGTCTCTCCTACCACAGGCACACTGACACAGGGGTGGCAGGGGCGGCGGCACGAGTCTCCCACATACTATGCGGGCCTCACTAGAGGTGCGGCCTGTGCGTGTCCTCGCCCTTGAGGGGGGAGGGGAAGGGGCTGTGTGTCTGAGATTTTTAGCAATACCAAACAACTCTAACACTCACACGTCATTTGGGGCCTGGAGCCCTGTTCACGCGCGCGCGAGACGTGCAGACAGGGTTGCCAGGTGAGAGCGAATGGCGCGGTTCACGCCTCGCACAACAGAGAGAGAGATGCGCTCTGCATGGTGGGACATAAAAGAAAGCGAGTACGTGGGCGAGTAGGCCGTGCGGTCGACGCTGCCGCGCGCGACTTTGCGCGCGAGGCGGCGCAGCTTGAGAACGGCGGTGGGCGAGAAGCCGCCGCCGAACGTCTCGTGGAGCAGCAGGTTGAAGTTGTTGCGCTTGACAAAGATCGCGTCGTGGTAGAAACCGCGATGCGCCTTGACGTAGCCGTGGCCGTTCTTGTGGTCGAAGGGTTGGCCGGGTTGCCCGCGCGCCTTGCAGCCCATGTTTAGGCGGCGGGCCTTCTCTTCGGTGTTGCCGAAGGCGTAGGAGTGGCCAACGGAGGCGGGCGTGCCGCCGCTCGAGGCGTTGCCAACGCCCGCCGAGGAGGTCTTGAGGAGGGGCGTCCAGAGCTTGACTTCATTCACCTCATCGCATCCTCCCGTGTCTGTGCATGTGTGTGTGTGTGTGTGTGTGTGTGTGTGTGTGTGTGTGTGTGTGTGTGTGTGTGTGTGTGTGTGTGTGTGTGTGTGTGTGTGTGTGTGTGTGTGTGTGTGTGTGTGTGTGTGTGTGTGTGTGTGTGTGTGCGTGTGCGTGTGCTCAAGTGCTCAAGTGGCGGTCGTGACTGCGGTTTCTAAATTCTCTTGCTGCCGGCTGTCCGCCCACCAGTCGTTGGACGCTCCGCCACCGTGGCAAGCTCCCACGTGGGCCTGCGCCGGCCGTCCAACCAGTTCTCGTCCGACCGGGCCCGCAGAGGCTCTGTCTGCCTGTCTGCATGCGGCGCTGCGCTGCCGCCAACCTCCGCCTCCGCTCCCTGCAAGGCCGCCACCTCAGCTCGCGCTCTTCCACGTCGCCCGCCGTCGTCTTCCTGGTCGCCGGCGAGGCGTCGGGCGACGTCATAGGCGGTCGCCTGATGCGGGCACTGCGCAACGAGTACGGTGGCGCCATCCACTTTGAGGGTGTCGGAGGCGACTCGATGCGAGCCGAAGGGCTAGCCTCCTCCCTCTTCCCCATGTCGGAGCTCAGCGTCGCCGGCTTTGCCGAGGTGCTCCCGTCGCTACCACGCATCGCTGCCCGGCTCCTGCAGACACAGCGCGCAGTCCGGCGTGCGCAGCCGCACGTCGTCGTCGGGATCGACTCAAAGGGCTTCAACCTCCGCCTGCTCCGCTCGCTCGCACATCGCCGCGCCGCCGCCGGCCGCAACGGCATCCCAGCGGCGCCTGTCCTCGTCCAGTACGTCGGCCCGTCGGCGTGGGCCTTCGGCGACGCAGACGCGCGGGCGGCGCGGCTGCGCGGAGGCGTGGATGAGCTCCTCGTGCTGCTGCCATTCGAGGAGGCGGCCGCAGCAGCGTTCGCCCGCCCCGCCCCGCAGCCCCGGCCCTCCTCCCCGCCCTCGCGCGCCAGCTTCCACCGGAGCACTCGCTGCCCACGGCCCCGCGCCTTGCCCCACCCCGAGGCGCTCTTTCGGCGCGCCGGAGTGCCCGCCACTTTTGTCGGACACCCGGCGCTCGACGACGTGGCGATCGGAGGCGAGCCGCCGGGCACGGCGGCGGAGCGGGCGGCCGAGGCGACGGCCTTCCGGCGCGAAGTCGGCCTCTCGCCGTGCGCGCAAGTCCTCTGCTTGCTGCCTGGTAGCCGTGCGCAAGAGGCGTGCGACTGCGGTGTGCGAGGCCAGTGCGTGCCTCTCGGCCACTCCGCGCGTCGCTGGGTCTCCAGGTGAGGGCGATGCTGCCGCTGCTGCTGCGTGGCGCGGAGAGGCTCGCCGAGCGGCGGCGGCGCGGCGAGGCGCTCTCTAGCCGCTGGGCCGGTCTCGCTCGAGGGGCGGCGGACACGCATGTCCGCGACACGTCCACGACATGTCTTGGGGCACGTCCCACAGGTCTCGCTCGAGGGGCGGCGGACACACAGGCGGCGGGAGGCGGCCCCGACCGGTCGCGAGTGCTGCCGCATCTAGGTCCGATCGAGCTGGTCGTGCCCGCGGCACCGGGGATGCGCGGCGAGGTCGATCGCATCGTGCTCGAGACTCTGGCGGGAGGCGCAGCGAGAGGCGCAGCGGGAGGCGTGAACAGGAGGTGTGAACGAGAGGTGTGAACAGGCAGCGAGAGGCACAGCGGGAGGCGGCGCGCGCTGCAGCGTGGTCGGGAGCGGGTCTCGCCGGGCTGCTTTCGGCGCCGCGGACGTCGCCATCGCCGCTTGCGGCACGCCGCTCGTCGCCGCGACGCGCCGAGTGGGGAGGGGTTTGGCTGAGCGGCGTTGTGGGCCTTAGGCACTGCGTTCCTCGAGCCGCTGCCCACCCCTCCCTCCCGGCGGCCCCACCGCACGCCGCCGCGCCGACAGGCACCATCAACCTCGAGCTCGCGGCGACGGGGGTGCCGCAGGTGGCCGTCTACTCGACCAGCTGGCTGACGGGCTTCGTGATCCGGCGGGACACGCCCCTCCACTGCCCTCGAGGGTACCCCAGGCCGCCCGCCCGCGCCACCCCTCCTCGCCACCCCTCCTCCCCGCGCCGCAGGCGCCTCCTCCGCCCTGTCCTCCGGCACGCTTCCCTCCCAAACATCCTCGCCGGCCGCACCCTCCTCACCGAGCTCCTCTTCGAAGACTGCACGCCGTGCCGCATCGCCGAAGAGGCAGACTTCCTCCTCGCCCGCCCCTCCCTCGCCCGCGCCGAGGCGGCTCAGATTCGGCAGCTGGTGCTGCCTTCCCTCCGCGCCGTCGGTGACGGCGGCGAGCCGCAGCTTGCAAGCCGCGCAGCCGCGCGCGCTTTGCTCCGCCACCTGCCCGAAGCGCAGACTTGTACATTGTAGAGACTCCGTAGTGCGTGAGGGTAGAGTAAATAAACAAATAAACGGTTGGGTAGTAGGGCTAGAGGGTCGCTCTACACTTAGCCTCTGCAGCGAGCGAGCGCTCAACTTAGCCCCCGCACGGAGCCGGGCTCAGTCCTCAGACTTAGACGCTGTATGGTCCCGGGGGGGCCATATGAACTTAGACGACACAAGGCCAACTCGGGTAAAACCCGGTATACCTGCAAAAGTCCAGGTTTACCCGAAAAAGAGGACGAGCACACACAGGCTTCACGCCTTCACCGTCACGCATTTGATTAAGCTTGAGGAGCTTCGTGTCATGTGAGAACTGTTTGGCTAGACGTCGCTCAAGAATGAAGGAGCAGCAACGAAAGTCGGAAGAGGAGGATGCTGAAGCGGCGATCGCTAAGCATGAAGAGGATCGATCGCCCGCCGCAGGCGAAGAAAATTGGGGGCTGCGCCGTATCGTTGATCACGGTGGGAGCCTCCTGGCGCCCCAGGCCGTGCCACGGCCGACTTAGCCGACGTAAGAGGCTCCCGCTGATCTTAGACCGCGCAAGCACCCCAGCGTGCCATGGCACACTTAGACCCGCTCAGCCTCGAGGCTCAGAACTTAGACTACTACGCAACCAGTAACAATATGAAATAAAACGGACACCTCTAGGAGATGGGTAAAAAACAGGTCCCCGCCCTGCGATCTTTGTGCAGGGTTCTTTGTGGGTGTGATCGGCGACTTAGCCGGGGTCGTCCTCCCGCTGGGGGACTAGCACCAGCCGTCTTCCACATGGTCCCTCGGAGGTCCCTGCTGCTCCTAATCTCTTCCCCACAGACCGTCTTCGTACATCCTCCTGCTGATCTCCGCAAAGTCCTGCTCCTTCCCTCATCTCGCCCTGCGCGTCTGCTCCGCCTCACCGTCGTCTGCCCTTCGTCGTCTGGCGGCTGGTGCTCCTCCATAGTGTCGGTTGAGGTCGCCGCCCTCCTGCCTCCTTGTGCCTCTTCCCAACCGGTTCCCTCGGCGGCCGATGCCGTCTGTACTCGATAGCGGTCCCGCCATAGCTCCCGCATTTGCGACGTGTGGCGGCGCGCGCACAAACATCACGCCGGGCGAAATTGCGAAGCGCGCAAAAGTGCGAGTGTCTCCCTCTACTCTGCGGCAGTCACTCTCTCCTGAGCCGCTGCACGCGGGCACCCCACGAGTCGGCAATGCTCGAGCAGGAGCTGCTCGGCGAGCTGTAGGCGGCCGGATCGCCCTCGCTAAAGCTGTCTGATGCTGAGAGAGCCCGCATCATTCCGCAAAAGTCGGTAGAGAACACCGTGCCTGCAAATGATGATGTGCATGCGCCTGCGATGGTCGACACAATGGTAGGCTGCCGGCCAGAAAAGTGGGAGCCGCGCACGACCAGCTCAAGTTCGTGAGCCGTGCAGGCTCGCCTGCGGCCCCACTCTCATTCTGTCGTGTGAAAGAATTTTAAGATCGCTCTTCTGACTGCCTAACGCTTGCGGCGGCAACTCTTCCGGCTCTGTGTGCTTTGTCTCTCCCTGAACGATTAAAATGTGACAAAAGGGATCGGTTTCCCGCAAAGCTAGACGCTATCTACGAGAAATTCAAGCTCGCGAGAGCTGCCCGCGCCGCAACGACACCGGCCGCCTCGCGGAGTGCCACCTCGAGCGACCGTAGCCTCTCGACCGTGTCGACCGTCTCAAGCAGCCGCTGCTGCTCCGCCGTGCCCAGCTCGCAACAAGAAGCCAGCGCAAGAGAGGCGTGTGATGGCGAAGCGGCGCCAGGCCTCAGGGATGTGAGGGGTCCATCCGCGGCGTCCGCGCCCCGGAGCGTGGCGAGCAGCGTCCACAGCTCTCCGTGGAGGCGCGCCGCCTCCTCTGCCGCCGCCTCGTCGAGCGGCGTGTCCGCGACGACGTCGAGCGCGCCATCGGACATCCGCCGCACCCGGTCGAGCGGGGTGCACTCGAGCAGGCCGCCCTCGCCGCACGGCAAGACCTCGGCGATGACACCAACGTCCGCCATTGGGCTGAAGGCGGGCTGGTAAAAGGCGGCGGCCCTGCCGCACGCGCCGCCGACCGGAGCAGAAACGAGATACGGGTGCGGGCTCTGCGGAAAGGGCACGACGCCGGCGAGCGGCAGCACCGGCACGGCGGCGTCGAGTCTCATCTGAGCCTGGGTGAGCAAGCCGGGAGGCGGCGTGCGGCGGAGGCCCCCGGGCGGCGCGGCCGCCAACGCAAAGCTTAAGAGAATTCATTGGCTCACGCGCGCAACTCTGCGCTGATCGTCCTTCCAAAATCCTGCTCGTGCAGGTGGGGACCCGGTCCTCCTCCCCCACTCCTTGGGGTTGTCTCGTTTCTTTCTTTTGGGCACGGGACTGGCGCGCACTGGAGAGAGAGAGAGAGAGAGAGAGAGAGAGAGAGAGAGAGAGAGAGAGAGAGAGAGAGAAATTTTCAAAAAAACCATAAAAACACGACTCTCACTTCTTGCGGTTAGTGGTGCGCTAACCGAGGATGCCCCTCGGAGTCGCGCCCGAGTCGCTCCTCATCGGGGTGTGTTCGTGACAGCCAATTCTGAAATAAGCTGTGTCCTTCTGTTTTCACGCTGCTCAGCACGCCCGCCGGTTAAGCTGCGGTGCAAAACTCTTTTTACCACCTTCAAGTACACCCCCAAGACTCCCCAAAACCGCCCAGGATGAGCTCCTGAGGTGCCAGTCCGCCCGAGATATGACCGGTTGAAGTTGGGGTTCCACGGTCAGGATGGAGGTGTCGAACTGGACCGGGGTCAGCCAGGGAGGAGGCTGACTTTGCGGCACCACCATCATCGGACGATGTCGACGAGTTGAGTCGCGCTCGCGGTAGCCAGATGACCTCTCATACTAGGATCATCGGCCATGGCCGCAGGGAGCGCGGGGGAGGGCGCTGGGAGCAACACGGAGCTCCGTTGGACGTTTTCAAGATTAGCGTGTCAGAGTGTGAATTCTTTGGAACTAGCCTTTGCGGCATGCGGGTCGTGCCGAGCTCTAAGAGAGCCTACATTACGTCAGTTCCCCACGGGTCTCGCTGCCTTTCGCGCAACACGCAAGCCCAAGTTGAAAATTTCCCAAAAGTAAAGCCGCGCTCGATGCGAGCGGAGACGGAGCGCCTTCCACTCGCTATCAATGTATAAGTCACGCAAGCGTACATAAGTGATCTCATCGCGAGACCACCGGGCTGACGCTGAGCGGGCTGACGATCAGGTGTGCCCAAAGAGCTCGACCAGCAGCCTCTCTGTCTGCTGGAGGACTCCACCGGACGGAGTCAGGTCGAGCGCCTCGTGAGCGCTGCGCAGCACCACCAGAAGAGGGCCGTCCGCCAGCGAGAGCTCCGCCCGGATGCGACGCACGTTCTCCATCAGGAGCGACGGGCGCGCGAGAGCTGGAGCGGGGGCTGCCGGCGCAGCGGCGGGCGCGTCGGTTCTGGCTGGCGCTGCCGCCGGGGCGTGTGGTGGCCGTGGCCGTTGAGCCAGTCCCGGCGGCCCTGGCGCCGGTGGCGGCCCTGGCGGCGTCGGCGTCGGCTCTCGGGGCGGTGGCGGCTGTGGCGGCTGTGGCGGCTGCGGCGGCTGCGGAGGCAGCCCCGGCGGCCGCTGCGGCGGCGGGGAGGGCACTCGACGCAGCGGGGCCTGCGCCGGCGCCGGCGTGTAGGACGCGGGCGGCACACACGCCTTAGGCGGCAGCGCACGTGCCCCAGCCGGCGGTGCAGCCTCCGCCTCCCGCGGTGCAGCCTCTGTCGCCTCTGCCGCCGTCCCGACTCGGCTGGGCTTGGCCGCCGCCGTCTCTTCGACTGGAGCTCGGCAGAGCGGGCAGGTGGTGTTTGAGGAGCCCTTGCGCAGGGTCTGTGCAAAGGAGCTGCAGCCCGACATCCACTCGTCGAGGCAGCCGCCACACCTGCGGCAGGGCGGCCCTGGCTGAGCAGGGGCGGCGCTCACACAACCGCTTTGGCGGGCGCCGCGCACGTCGAGTGGCGGCAAGGCAGCATCTCGATGTCGGCCTTGTTTTCGAAGCAAATCGGGCAGTCCTCCAGCAGAGCAAGGTCGCATACGGACAGCGAGAGTGCCTTCTTCCGGTTCGTCTGTCCGACGGCTCTCCACTTTGCCGGTTGCGGCGACGGTGCTTCTGGCCCGGCGTGGGGAATGTCCGCCTGAGACTCTTCTCGCGCCGCCTCCCTAGCCGCCGCCGAAGCCGCTCGAGCCTCCGCCTCTGCCGCCTCCGCCGCCGAAGCCGCCTCTGCCGCCGCCGCCGCCGCTTGCCGCCTTGCCGCCTCGGCCTCGGCGGCCTTTTTCGTGGCTTTTGCAATTTCGGCCTCAATCGCGGCGATTTCCCAGTTGTCGGCCATAATCTCCCTGTTGGCGGTAGCTCGCGACGCGCCGTCTCTGCGTGGCGCGCTGTCAGGTAGGTGCGCGCACTTCTTGCGTGCGAGAAGAATTAAGAAGAAAACTCCCTCGCACGACACTGGGCGAGAAGAATTTTGCTACTTCGCGGCCCTCTCGAGTCGCCGGACTCAAAAGACACCGCCACATTCCTGAGACGAGCGAGGGCAGCCTCCTTAAAGGCGAAAGGGTCTAGATTTGGAGCGCTCGCCGAAGAGGAGTACTTGTAGTATAGTAGGGTGAGAATTATGAAAAACGCCGGAATTCGGACGAGTACTCTCGCCTGCACAAACCTCAAACGACAAAATAGCGCCCATGATTGCATGCATGCACGCTGCCCGCACTCACGCGTCACGGACCCCATACCCGAAAGAAAGAAAAGGGAGCTGAAACCCGGTACGCGGGGCTAACCCTCGGAGACCGTGTTTACTTTACGGCCCTTTCCCTGCGAACGCGCACCCCCCAGGGCTAGGGCTCTCTAGCCCGTAACCCGATCCCGATCATCCGGCCCGCTGGGTGCGCTTCTTACTCCCCGGCCCTAGCCCCGGCCCTGGATGTGAGGCTATAATGTGACTGCACGCTCCGTCCAAGTGCTCCAAGCAAAACTCTCTCTCACAGCAGACAGGCTCGACACAGGTGCGGACTGGTGCGCGCTAGTACTACCACAGGCAAAGAAAGAATTCGCACCCACTTGTGTTTTCTGTGTTCTTCCTATCCCGAGGTGGCAAGCAATATGCACAATGGGGTCCCCCGTCCCCGAGCGCGAGCCGCGGCCCGCGCTTTGTTCCTGTCTCTTCTCTCTGCAGACTCTCTCTATTTATACGGATTTCGCGGGAACGACCGAAGACAAACGTTATGCGCACAGAGACCGATTGTGACGCGAGTCCGGTCACATGAGGCACGGGAGGCTTGGCCCCAGGCATGTCCATAACTCTCACACGGTCTCTCCCCTCTCATTTCTCTGCACGTGTGTCCCATGCCCACGGCTTATCGCCTCTCTGGCCTCTGCGCTCATCGTCAGCGGTTTTCCATCGCCCGGATTGATCTCCTGAAGCGCCTCCCGCTGCGGATCGTAGACCCACTGCCGTGCATACGTCGTGCGTGCCGGCTGCGCGTCCACTGAGTTCACGACGCCTGCTGTCAGCATGCGCTGCGAGTATCCTGGAACAAAGTCGATGCCGAGATTGCAGTCGAGACCCCGATTCTCGGGCAGCGTCGTCACCGGGCGGAAGAGCTTGCTCAGATATTTACCCGCCTTCTCCTGCAGGGCTTGAGCTACTTCAGGGTTGCCGCGCCTCTCACCGGCCATCACCAGGCACAGCTTGATGTAGTTGGCCATGAAGTTTGGCTTCCCAGGTTGAAGCTTCAGCGCTGTCTCATACGCTGCGGCCGCCTGGTCATACGCTGACGCGCCGGCTCGCTTGTATGCGAGCGCCAAGTTGTTCCAAGCAGTCGCCAGCCTATCCGGTGGCTCGGGCGGTAGCGCACAGTTCGCAGGCTTGACCGAAATCTGGATGAGATGCTCAGTGTCCTGCACGGGCGCTATCGCCACAGGCGCGCGGCCAGATGCGAGCGGGCCGAGCACGAGGCCATGCCTGCCGTTGAGCTCGGGCTTGCTGACGAGACCGTGAAGAATCACCATGACGCCGCGGACGAAGCTCTCATCAGGTGGGTCGAGCACGCACCCCTGAGTGCGCCACCGCTCAAAGTCGACGGCGGTGATGGTTGGCATATACATGCGACGGACCGTCCTACAAAAGCTACACACGACGCGCGAGAGCGCACCGAGGCAGGCCACCGCCGCGCCAACCGCACATAATGAGAAAGAAACGATCCAAGACAGCGCTGGTGCGCTTCTTAGCTCCCCGGCCCTGGATGTGCGGTTAATGACTGCACTCCAAGTGCTCCAAGAAGCAACTCAGACAAACTCAGACCCATGCTAGTAAATGAATGCAAACCAGTGACTCGCGTCACTTTTAGCTTACTGGGAGAAAAGAGATTGTACGCTTTTTTGACAAGTGACACTTGCACATCTGTCGTCGCTGGTGACAAATGAATGCGCGTCTGACTGACACGGAGCGTGCAGCACGGGATGACCAAGCGCGGGCGGAGATTGATAACCGCAAAGCAGAGCAGCGACGGATGGCTGAGGAAGCGTCCGAGCAACGTTGGCAAGAGATGTGCTGGATGAATGCGCCTGCCACGGCGAACGTGCCAATGCCGGCGCATGTTCGCCGTGGCAAGCCATGGTATGGCGTCGATCATGCAGAAGTTCCGACTACGCAAGACTACAATGTGCCGCATTGAAGGTCGTGCGCTTGCTAGTAGAGAAGAAGGTGCGTCGCTGTCCTCGACGCTCGAGATTGAGTCCTCTGCCAATCGATTGCTCTGACGCGATCGACACAAAATTTAATCCAAGCGCGACGAGACTGTACACCATGCTCCATGGATGCGCCGTTTTGCCGCGGGGGCCGCGGGGCTCCCGGTCCCTGCCTGGTCCTGCCGGTGCCGCGCTCTGCGCGTGTGTGCGGCCCGCGCGTCCCGCGTCGCGCGTGCCCGTGTCCTAGTCTGTGTCCGTCCTGTGGCGCGTGGAGATGCGAGGGTCGCCCCCCGCACCCCCTTTGTGTGTGTGTGGAGACGTTTACCTTACACCTTACCGACCTTACCTTACCTCTACACCGGACCACGACTCTCGCTACCGCACGCGGACCCACAGTGACCGCCATCCGCGTGGGGGCCGGGCAAGACCTCGCTCCTCGGCCTGCACCCGATACGCCTCGGTCTCGTCGAAGAAGAATGGATCGCAGGAGACGAGCTCAAGACCCGCAGGGACCAGGCCGTCCTCGAGCTCTCGACGCGTCAGCCTGACGGGCCCTCGCTCTTCGGGCTCGTCCGCGTTGCCGGTGAGGAGCAGCAGCGTGCCGCCCAGCCGCAGCACCCCGGCGACGGCAGCGCCAGCGGCGACGATGCTGACCTGTCGGAGGCACTGGTAAGTCTGGCAGTCGAATGCGAAGTCGAATGCGCCCTGGAGCTCATCGGGCGGAGCCAGCAGATCCGCCTCGAGCACTCTGGCGTTTTGCACCCGAGAGCGGGTGATGGCCTCCTGCGCTGCGACGACTGCGACCGGCGCGATGTCGACGC